AGATGTTGCTTTAATTAGTTTATATATATATATATATATATGGTATATTTGGGCCTACTTGTACCATTTAATGTGCATTAAAAATTCAAAAGTTATCATTCATAAAATTAGCGTTACTTGTTTCAACTTTTACATGCTTTAATGTTAAAACCAAATAAATATTTTAAGTTATCATATGTGCATATAATTTACCAATCATAATAATAGTAGAAGCATATTGCAGAAGATATTTAAAAAAAACTCATCTGGTAACTTACAATGCCTTTCATCAGAAAAGCTGCTGTTCATAGGCCAGAGAAAATCCAAAACACTTTATTATAAAACAAAAAATACTCCTTTTAGATTACCATTAATGCTACGTTTAGTGCACCGTTTTTAGTAACTGTTCGAATTAAAAACAATTTAAAATGATTGCTATTTTATTGTAACTGTTCTTTCACAAAGTCAACAATATTTTATACAGGCTGCAATTGGGCGATGCTGTTTCATTTATTGAAAAAATATTGTTTTAAATTCAGGTACATTTTTATCTGCGTCTAAAGGAAATTTTTAAAATCTCAATTCTGACCTTTTTACCGTTGTTACATTAAGTTTTGTACTATACATAAGGCAAGAATAAATTGTAAATTAGGCATTATTAAACCTATACACTTTGGAGTTAGACTCTATAAAAATAATATTAGTGGAAAGTCGCGTAAAAATTAATTTGATGCCTTAATGTCTAAAAAAATAGTTCTTAACCAATAATGTGTTAACTTAACAAAATTGTATTGACTTTATGATTAACCCCATAAGGGTATAAGGAATCAGATATCGTGCTGTGCACGTTTTGGAATAAATATAAAATTCATGTAAAATTCAATCTGTAACAATACATAAAAAAATATTTACAATTCAAATCTTAAGCTAAGACTTTCAGTATTTTAAAGCCATAGGTGAAGTATAAATATCAGGTGAAGGCACTTTTTTATTCGCATCACAAATCATTTTGATTAGCTTTTTAAAGTAAAAACTATATATAATGTAGTGGGCAGTCTTTTTAACTTATTTTTACAATTTTATATATGATATATACAGGGTGTATAAATATGAGGTAAAGTCTAATAATCAACTCTTTAACCGCAGAAACTTCCCTACATTATTTACAATAAGAAATAAATATTTTATTTAAAAAACTAAGTTTTAAATGTTGCCAAGAAGGCAAGAAAATACGAAAAACAATGATTATACCAGTTATTCAATTACAATACAAAAAATACGGCAATTTCAAAAAAACACGAAAATAAAAAATAACAGGCAATGGTGGGGCTTTAAACTAAAGTAGATAATTCATGTGGAGAATTGGTGGTACCAACGCTACTTAAGTCGATGGTAGCTGTTGGTATACCGGGACTAATACTACCACTAGCTTCTTGCCGATGAGATGTTAAATTAATATTTTCAACATGCGAAGGGGTAGCTGCAGGTCGAAGGGTGTAAGGCCCATTACTTGGATGAATCTGAAGGGTGGATTGCAATATACTCGGTTGATGAGTAGTAATGTGAGACTGGTTAAGGGGTACAATATTGTTAAAAAATATATTGTTTTGCGTGGTTGTTTGTTCGCTTTGTTGGAGCGCCATTTCTTTTACGGCATTTGTTTTTTCTTTTTGCCATATAAATACGTTATGCACCATAGCACAACCACAAAAAATTATTCCTAAACCAATAAACACACTGGTTACAATCGCTGGTGTAGAATGGAATTGAATGAATGTATAAAGTATTATACCTGCAAACGTATAAAATAATATAAATTTAATATATAGGGTATCATAAGGGGCCGTCCATAAATTACATAAGCCTTGTCTTGATTAGAAATTGTAATTGTACCTATATTTAAAGGTGAATTAATATTTTCTTAATTGAAACCTAAAACTTTTTACAATGAACGCATTACGTATCGAAGTGGGGGAGGGGGGTTTTAGCTAGGCGTTGCGTTTCTTGTACGTGGGGCAAGATTAAAAACTAATGAATTTTGCGGTATGTAATTCATGGGTAGCTCCTACAAATAAAAAACTCATCATGAATTGTTTTAATATGTATATGAATTCCTGATTAATCAACTTNAAATATTTAAAAATGTGTTTACAATCATTAATGTAATTCTACTAGTTATATGAAATGTCTCTGTATATACAAATTTGCTAATGTAAGATGATATATTTTTTGCAGTAATACCTTTGCCAAGAATTACTTTAAGTCATTTTTGTTTAATTTTACACTTTGTTATTATTTTACTAATTTTAAGTAAGCAAATTTCCTGGGCCAACAAGAGGAAGTAGTGTTTATTAATTTCTTTTTACATAGCTCGAAATTAATTAATAATATTGTATACTTATTATGGCAAAAAATCTTATTGTGTCTTACTGAAAGTAAAATACAAAAAAGTAAACACCAACATAATAAATATCATTTCGCAAATTGCTTTGTTATTTAAAAAATTAATCTTACTAAAAGTATTAAGTTTGATACCATTTATTAATTTAAGATCGGTTGTTTTATCTTCTAGTTTGTCATAATTAAACATGAAACGCTTATAAATTGCAACTATTATGAACGAGAGATAGTCAATAATTAGTTGGCGTAATTATTATTTTATAAACGATAAAGGTTAGTGCTGAAGTAGTTATAATTAAGTACCTTAATAGAGTTAATTAATTGCGTTTAATTTCTTTCATATTTTGCCCATATTTATTCTTAAGTTGTAATTTATTGACTATCTTTTCTAACATAAATATTGTATCACTGATTGGTGTAAAACAAATGATCAAACAAAAGAGAAAACCAAAAAGTAACAGTAACATTAATAATTACAGTAAATAATTTTTAGAATTTGCATTTTTATAGTTTACGTTATAGATTTTTTTCAGCTATGTATTTGCAACTTCTTCTGGACACATTTACTGTATGCCTTAGAATAACATTCAGAAAAATTTGTGAACAAAGTGATAATATAAATGTAATATATTACTAAAAAATTACATTTCTTATTAAATGACCTGAATGTTAGAATCCCACGAGGCAATTTCATGTACTTCTCAGGTGTACCTAACTTTTAAAATCCTGCTTAATTATGAGCGGTTTAGAATTCCCTTTGACTATAAAAATTGGAAAACGAAAAGGGGACTTCTAGAATCCGAATTCTAAATACCGATAATATTAATTTTCTAGAGATTGTTTAAAATACCTGCTATATCTATAACGTGTACATCACATTGTGTTTATTCATAATTACTAACAAAGTTCGTTCTGTGTTATGGAATGTCAAATAAGTAGTGATTATTAATAAAGATGTATAAATTTTTAAACTGTCTTTTAGATGTATTATATACTTCTTTGAAAAACATTGTCTCATTAAATAATAAAATGAAGTGAAAAACATGAATATAAAAGTAAATTAAATTATAGCTAAAGGAACTTTGCTTCAAAAATGAAATACATGTAAAGTGTAAAAGATTTCATTTCCTTTAAGTTTTTGTACAAATTGTAAAATAAGATTGAATTGTTATCATGGTTTTTAATTAACAAAAAACGGTCAATAATTCATATTTAATTCAATTTTGCCGGGGATTGCCTACAGCGCCACCAAATCGTCGTATCCTCAATTTTTGATATGAGTTGGATGGCCTGATGACAGCCTAATAAATATGAGTGTATATGCATAAGAAGAAATGACAACTGTGGAACTGCTGTGGACATATTATGAGGAATGTTATAGACATATTTAGATAACACCAAAAATAAAATACAGTGACAGTTTCTGTGGATGTGCTACTATTTCTGTTATTATTATGTTACTTATACAAAACCGTTTGGTGTTTTTAAAGAGCGTTTATTTAATTAAATGAAGTTGATGTATTAGTGTGACATGTAAAATGTGAACATTTTGGGTGCTTGTTTTATAATTTATTTTAATTTTATAAAATTAGCAATGGCTTACGAAAGTGGAATGTTTAATTCCGACTCGTCACAAAATATTTTGGAATCTTTACAGAATGATTTCAAGAATTTATCTGTAGAGACAAAAAAGAAGTATCCTCAAATTAAAGAGGTAAGTGAAACTAGTAATGTCTAATAAGTTTCGAGAAGATATATTTTTTTAGTCATGTGAAGAGGCTGTTAATAAACTTAAAGCTAATGCTAATAGCTCACAAACTGCAATATATCCTGTAATAAATCAAATACTTTATCCATTAGTACAAGGTTGTGAAACTAAAGATATCAAAATAATCAAGGTAGCAAATTGACAATAAACATACTCAAATGCTACAGCCCTAATCTTAAATTATTTTAGTACTGTTTACCTATTATTCAGAAACTAATAACTCAACAACTAATTGACCAGAAGGGTGCAAGGTATATCACCGATACTTTATGGTCTCTAATGGAAGCTGGAATAGAGGAAGTAAAAGTACTACAGTCAGTTACTTTACTATTAACAACTAATACAGTTGTTCATGGTGAAACATTAGCTAGAGTAAGTGTATCTTCCTATTTAAATAAATTTAACTAAAACGTCATTGTTTAGGTGTTAGTATTATGTTTTCGGCTTCATTTTGCTAAGAACTCAACAACTATAAACACTGCTGGTGCTACAGTAAGACAATTGGTAAACTTAGTATTTGAGAGGGTTACTACAGAAGATGAACAATTATCAAATGTAGAGGATCCTCCCCCTGCAAGAAATGTAAATTTAGAAGAATTGAAAACACCTAGTGGTATTGCACCTAAAGGTATGCCACCTTGTGCTGCTGATGCATACCTGCTTTTCCAAGATTTGGTTCAATTAGTAAATGCTGATCAACCTTTCTGGTTGCTTGGAATGACTGAGATGACAAGAACATTTGGATTAGAATTACTGGAATCTGTTCTATTAAATTTTAGTATTGTATTTTTTAAGGTACCCACATGCAAAATCTAAATTCTAACAAATATTTACTTTCTCTGCTTTTTAGAATGCTGAGTTCAGTTTTTTGTTGAAGGAAAGAGTTTGTGCATTAGTTATTAAGCTTTTTTCTCCAAACATTAAATACAGAAGCTCTGTTCCTGCCAGTATTCAACAAGCAACACCTTTTGATAAACCATACTTCCCAATTAGTATGAGACTACTTAGAGTAGTCTCAATTTTGATACAAAAATATCACAGCCTTTTGGTAAACACGAGTTATTCATAATCTTATTATTTCTCAATAAACTGCTCATTTTTTTAGATAACAGAATGTGAAATATTTCTTTCACTTATAATAAAGTTTTTGGATCCTGATAAGCCAATGTGGCAACGTTCACTAGCTTTAGAAGTACTCCATAGAATGACAATTCAACCGGAATTATTGAGTTCCTTTTGTGAATGTTATGACTTAAAAAAACATACAACCAGAATATTTCAAGACATTGTGAATTCATTGGGCGCTTATGTACAATCCTTATTTATTAAGCCACAAATACAAACAAGTCATCAAAGTAAGTGAAATAAATTGAAATAAATACGTCAATATTTCTTCGCGTTTATAATAATCTCATCAATTTTTTGATTACAGTTCCAATAACGCAAAGTCAGTCTCCAACCTTTTTGGTTGTACTACCCACAGGTCCTGGTGTTTCACCACAACCTGGCTTTCTTTCTCGAGGTGTGTGGCTACCTCAAGTCATTACTTTTCCCACAGGAACAACAAAATCAACTTAGTATGCTTCTGTTAATGTAGTTTTAATTTGCTCTACTAACATTGTATAATTGTAGTTTAGAAATGTTAGAAAAGATCGATCCACCAGTAATTCCTGACGGTTATGGTGTATCAATTGCATATGCCTGTATTCTAGAGATAATTCGCTCTCTTCAAATAATAATAACCCCATGTCAAGAAACTGACGGACAAGTTGTGGCAAGTCCCCCTTTAGACGAAACCAAAAAAGAACTGCATCGTCAATTGATAAATTCTAGTTGGTGCGGACTTTTAGCCGCATTAAATCCTCTAATGGAAGCTAGTACTGATGAATCAGTTACAGAGAGTTTATTAAAAGCAGTTCAAACTTATGCTTCCTTATGTGGATTATTAGATTTACCTACCCCACGAGATGCATTTATCATGACCATTTGTAAATCATCTTTGCCTCCTCATTATGCACTAACCGTTTTAAACGCTGTAACTCCTGGAATGAATGTAAGAGGTATCATTAATTGTGCCTTTAGTGACGAACCTTTGCTATTTTTTGAGTTTGAAGGTCAAGGAAAACCTGAGATGCAAGACTTATATTCCCAGTGTGTTGCTCAGTATCCTGAAACTGACTATAGGCAACAAGTTGTCGCTGTTGGTACGCCATTGTCGACATCATCTGTACCAGTAGGTGAGTTTAAACTTGTACTTTATTAAAATTGTTATTTTTTAAAACCGATGTTATTCTTGTTTCCTTTTAGGAGCTCAACAGGGACCTGTAATGTTAACTGGTAAAAATTTACAGTCCATGCGTGCACTGCTAAATTTGGCTCATTGTCATGGAGGAATTCTGGGAACTTCGTGGCATTTCGTTTTAACTACTCTGCAGCATCTAGTTTGGATTTTGGGTTTGAAACCATCAACAGGCGGTAGTTTAAAAGCAGGTCGTGCTGCTGCCGATTCTAACGCTGTGATAACAACTGCTGTTATGGCGGATTTACCAGTATTATCTACCATGCTTAGTAGATTATTTGAATCAAGTCAGTATTTGGATGACGTAGCTTTACATCATCTTATAAATGCCCTTTGTAAACTGTCTCAAGAAGCAATGGAATTAGCATATTCTAATAGAGTATAATATTGACTACTTTCCTTTTTTCGTGTTTCTTATAAATTAATTGCAGGAGCCATCTTTATTTGCGGTGGCAAAATTGTTGGAAACAGGTTTGGTTAATATGTCGCGCATTGAAGTCCTTTGGAGACCGCTAACCAATCACTTATTGGAGGTTTGTCATCATCCCCATATTAGAATGCGCGAATGGGGAGTGGAAGCTGTAACTTATCTCGTAAAGGCAGCATTGCAACATAAACATTCAGTACCTTTAAGGGAAAACCAAAAATTACAAACTCTTTTACTTGGGCCATTGGCCGAATTATCATCCGTTCCACACGGTGATGTAAGACAACGACAGTTGGAATGTGTTTTACAGATATTACACAGTTCCGGCGAATCATTTTCTCATGGGTGGCCACTTGTGTTGGATATTATTGGAGCAGTGTCTGACCATCACGGGTATAATATTTATACTAATTCCTTGTCCTACTCATATTGTGTCTTATTTACATAAATCAATATTTTTTATTGAAGGGAAAATTTAATTAGGATTGCCTTCCAATGTTTGCAACTTGTGATAACAGATTTTTTGCCTGTGATGCCCTGTAGATGTTTACCTCTCTGTGTTGATACTGTAGCTAAATTCGGATCTCAAATGCAAGAATTAAACATTTCTTTAACTGCTGTAGGATTAATGGTACTCAGAAAATATCTTTTCTTTATTACCTCATTAATTCTAATTCATTTTCAAATGTTTTAGTGGAATATTTCAGATTACTTTTATCAAAATCAAGCCAAATTAAACCAGACTTTGACGGAAGAAGTAGCGATTTTACCAGATTTTCCTGGTACACCAAATATGCCACATTTTGATAAACTGTGGATGTGCCTTTATTCTAGATTAGGTGATTTATTTGTTGATCCCAGACCTGCTGTTCGAAAATCGGCTGGACAGACACTATTTTCTACTATTTCAGCACACGGAGGTCTATTAAAACAATCTACGTGGCAAGCCGTTCTTTGGCAAGTTCTATTTCCTTTATTAGATAAAGTAAGAACATTAACGAAGTCTGCCAGCAGCGAAAAAGTTGATACAGGTAATTTTGTACTTTTTTTCTGTACTCTTCTTCTTGCTTATTTGTGACGATATATATATTATGTTAAAAGCTTTATAATTACAAGAATGTCATTTTTGTTTCTTAAAACATGTTTTTACAGTTAGAAAATCGTTAATACAAAAACATCGCCTGTGTTGTTGAACTTGTCCCTTGAAAAATGCGTTTGTGTATAGACAAATTATGTTTAGCGCAACCTAAACTTCTTTTTCTTTCAATTTCAGATGGTTTTTTTTATACACTGTTACATTTTTATTTATGTTACTTAGGTAGCAACATTTTAATACACCATACTAGAAATACTGCTCAAAAACAATGGGCAGAAACACAAGTTTTAGCACTGTCTGGTGTTGCAAGAGTATTCAATACAAAACATACAGTGCTACAAGCTTTAGGTGATTTTCCTAGAGCATGGACAGTTTTACTAGAATTTATAGAAAATGCTGCACTAAGTAAAAACAACGAAGTTTCATTTGCTGCTCTCAAATCTTTTCATGAAATTCTTTACTCAAATAAAAACCAAAACTCAAAAGACGACAAGAGGAAAGTTAATGAAGATGTAAACATTTGGAATGTTGCATGGAAAGTTTGGTTGAAGATTGGGACTGATATAACTGTTCCCAATATAACCGCAGGAGACACTTCTGACGATCTTTATTTGCCCAGTCAAGCCTTTTTAACAGCTTTGGTACAAATATTTCCCAGCATTTTTCAACATGTATCTTCAAATTTTACATTAGATGACGTGAAAAAATTAGGCAGTGTTTTTTTAAACACGGTGTCAGTACCAGCGTATGGAGAAAACTCGTCATACCTTATTCAATCATATTCTGATGACAGTTTGACTCCCCTCCATGAAGGAGTTTTGCACTCATTGGAACTTCTTCAAAAAGAACTTCTTGCCAAAGATAACAATAAAATGGTTACCGAAATATTTAGACAATATTTAACGTTCGGAAAATTTGTGCTAAATCCTCCTGTTGTTGGAAAGATAGATTTAAAGTTTGTAAAGGCTTCTGAATGGATGACTATTAATTACGTCCCATTTGGAGAAAAATCTATTGCTATGGCCGTAAAATTGTACGAGAAAACTGCTCAAAATCCTGAGGTTATAAACGCTAATATTTTACATGATATTATATTAACTTTACACGCACCTTTATCCATGAAATACAATTGCGTTTCGAGTTGCATTTGGAAAATGGCAGCAACCAGTTTAATTAGCGTTTTGAAGATAGGCTTGCCTGTAGCTAGAACTAATGGAAATCGTTTCGAAAAAATGTGGGATCAGTTGTCTGTGACACTCAATGAGTTTTTGTTCCCAAAAGCGTAATTAATTATAAAATCCTTTGGAGAATAATCAACTAAAATTTAATACTTTCTAGGACTCCACCCGCTGACAGAGGCTTAGACGAATTTGTGGCCGACGAGTCGATAGATTGTCAAATAATTGAGCTAATTCGAACAGAAATTTTGCCCTATTCTGCTAATATTCCTAAACAGTTCATACTAAATATTGTAGTTCTATTGAACAAAGGTTCCATACATTCCGCGACAACCACTAACATTGATTCTGAAACAGAGTTGACGCTAAGAGAAGAATTCGCCAAGATATGTTTCGAAACACTGTTACAGTTTTCCATGATAGACGGTGATAACAACCCTGTAATGTTAAGTAGTGACGAAAACGAGGGTGTGGCAGGAAAACTCGCGATTACAGCGTTACTACACAGATTTCAAGAGGTTTTAAAGAAATACATTGAAGATGAAAAGTTAAGTGGTAAATTGCCATTGCCCCGGTAAGAATTTCGAAATACTAATGCAGTTAATAAAAATACAATTAATTTTTCCTTTTTCTCTCTTGATATCAGGTACAGATTATCGGAAATTTCGTTTGTGTTGAAAGCAGTAACAACCCTTATCATTTCTATGAAGAAATCTTCTCTAGGAAAAGGTTGGTTTAATGTGTTTTTCTTTGTTTATTTTTGAAATTCATTAATTTTTTAGATGATAACGTAGCCTGGGAACAATTAATAGGATTATATCCATATCTTGTGGAGTGTACCATGTCAACATCTTCGCAAGTTTCAAGGCCGCTTCGAGAGGCATTATTACAATTTAGTGATCTTTTACAACCGCCCCATATCAAAACTCAAGTAACTACAAACGGTTTAAAAAACAATATTAAATAGTAAATATTTACTATTTTTTTGTGTATATATATTGGCCATATGTGTACATATTTTTACGAAATTATTTATAATTATATAGTGATGTACATACACAAGTATCTTACATTCAAAGATCTATCGAAATTTTAAATTTGCTTATTTATCTTTGCCAAATTAGCAGTAGTTTTCATATTTCCCTAATGGATAAATACACATTTCTTCATAACTAAGTACGAATTTGTTCATAATTTCTAAAATAAGATAAGGGTTTTTCTTTCAGTAGTTCTTTTTTTGACATTCCATTCTGCTGTAAAGTTTCTAATAATTTTGAAATTTGCTTTCTTACAAATATTTAATAAATGTGATATGTTAAGGTTCTTAATTGTTGACTGTCTCTATTGCTGTTCATTTTTGAATCAAAATGTCTGTTAGTGTGACCAAATTAAGTTAAATATCGACAAAAGAAACCTTAATGTACATGAATTCTTTAAAGAGTTGATTTTCACTAAAAGCCAAAAGTTGTGACTCAGTAAACTTGCTTTCTTAAATCTATAATGAAGTGTCAAAGTATTGATGTAGTTGTGTAAATAAGAAACTAAATTAAATCTACAGTTTTTCATATTGCATTTGTTGTAATTAATCTATGTACTCGGGTTTGGTGTTGAACATTTAGTGCAATTTTAGGGTTTTCGAGTTTATCTCTACCCAGTTTCAGCAAACAACGACAATTCTTGTAAATAAACGCAAGTTTGTTGAGCACACTTTTATGTACTGATACTCTCTTAGCGTATTACAATGGTTGGCCTATTTAATCAACTTATAGAAGGTCGATCTTCAATTGTAGTATATGTTTTTTTATTTGTTGTTACATATACCAAGGGTATCGTTTGTGTAATTACATTTAATATGAAATAAAACTAGCCAATAAAATTTTCAAAATTCATATCTAAACAAAGACTCTGTAGGAATTTAGTACATGTTCTATTTTTTTGCGTGTGTTGCTTTAATTAGTTTATATATATATATA